GGCACTTTCCAGAGCTTGGGTGTAATGAGACTGACCTCACCTCTAAAATGAGAACCTACAATGTGAAGAAAAGGCCCAGGGCTTATAATCCACCAAATGTAGCTCCCTGGACAATAGAACTCATAATTAAGATTAAGACTAAGATTAAGATTACCTTTATTGTCATTTTTGGCTGTAAGAACACTGGCACAAATTAAAAATGAAATTCTGTTGCCTACTCTCAAAAGAAAGTATATATCTATCTATACTTACACACAAGACATGTACATATGCTGTATACATATATATTATATGTTTTCATAGATTTTCATGGGTACAGGTATGCAGGTCTTGGCGTGTTCGCGTCTTTTCCCGTGTAAGATTGTGAGTGTCTTGGCAACGTTTCAACAAGGTCCCACTCGCCATCTTCAGGCTGGTGCTTTCGGCTTTGTGCTTGTGCGAACAAAGTGTGATTGGAGCTTCTGTCTCCCTATATATACTAGTGGGGAGGTTGGCTGTACTGTCATTTCTTGATTGGTTGATGGAGTTGATGTTTGCAGATTAGCTGGCTTTTTCGTAAGAACATGTGTGGCTGAGGTATTGGCTGTGTGTCTATCAGCCTCCTGTGTTGTAACGATCTGAGTAATGGGCTGTGTGATGACCTTCTGAGTTCTATTGTTTTGACATCCTGGGTCTTGTGCTGTAATCTCCTGGGTTGTAATGACCTGGGTCATGGGCTGTGTGATGACCTCCTGAGTTCTGTGATGTGATATTCTGAGCGGGTGGCTGTGATGTGATGTTCTGGGTTTTGGTTTGGCTCCAAGTTTGAGGCCTGGATATGTGTTCATGGCATGTGTCCATTTGCTTGGTTTGGGGGTCGGGGTATGTGGCAGCTGGTGATACAGCCGTGGTCTGGTTTCTGGATGGTGGTTGTCTTTCGTCTATGGGATGGGTTTGGGTTTGAGTCTAGTGAGGGAGAATGGTGGTAGTGTCATGTGTTGTTTTGGGTCCAGTGTTGGTTTTCGTGGCTGGGACTTATCAACAAACGATATCAGGATATCACATCACAGAACTCAGGAGGTTACACTACAAAACCTCAGGATGTTGCAACACAGCCAACAACCCAGGAGATTACAGAACAAGACCCAGGATGTCACAACAATAGAACTCAGAAGGTCATCACACAGCCCACGACCCAGGTCATTACAACCCAGGAGATTACAGCACAAGACCCAGGATGTCAAAACAATAGAACTCAGAAGGTCATCACACAGCCTATTACCCAGGTCGTTGCAACACAGGAGGCTAATAGACACACAGCCAATATCTCAGCCACATGTTCTTACAAAAAAGCCAGCCAATCTGCAAACATCAACTCCATCAACCAATCAAGAAATGACAGCACAGCCAACCTCCTCACCAGTATATATAGGGAGATGGCAATTCCGATCATGCTTTGCTCGCACAAGCACGAAGCCGAAAGCAACCAGCCTGAAGATGGTGAGTGGGACCTTGTTGAAACGTTGCCAAGATACTCACAATCTTACATGGGAAAAGACCCGAACACGCCAAGACCTGCATATATGTATATATACCTACACCCACACCCACACCCACACCCACACATTAATCACTGTCCATTTTGAATACACAGAGGAAAGAGGAAACGAGAGTTCACAAGGTTGATACTATATGGATCAAAACTGTGATTGAATCTGGATGTTCTGCTTCGAATACCACGAAGCCTCCTTTCAGAAGGTAACAAGGAAAACAGGTCATGAAGAGGATGTGTAGCATCCTAGACAATCTTGCAGACCCTGCTCAAGCATCGCTTATATGCTATGTCCTGGATAGAAGGAAGTGAACCACCAATGATCTTTTCTGCCACCCTGACCACTCTCTGTACTGCTTTCCTGTCCGAAGCAATAATGCTTCCAAACTAGGCAGTAATGCCATATGACAGGATGCTCTTAATCATCCCTCTATACAGAACATGGATAAGGACAGGGGAAGGAACATGTCCTTTTCTCATGCGACACAGAAAATGCAGGCACTGCTGTAATGTACCCAGAGTCCTACTTTCATTACTTCCAAGAAGTTGTGCATAATGTTACAGGACTGGTCAGCCCTTCTAGAACTTGAATCATGCACTTCTTGTTACTTTGTGCAATGCACGATTACCTGTATCACTCTAGGTATGTATAAGCCATTTTGCATACCCTTTTCCTGCCTGCTTTGATAGCACTAGATGTCAGTAAGAATGGTATAATTCCAAAAGTTTGTTCTAAAGCCATGTTCTCCAGGGCTATGTCCTGGCTATTTCTGATTTTTGCACAAGTTTAGAACAGATTTCAGTTGTTCTCTGCCAGCATCTCTATCCCCTTGAAACAATGGAGTTAGCTTGTTATTGATCAACACATTTCACCCCACACAATCTCTTTGGGCATTTTGTCAGCCAGGAAGGCTATTTTTGATCTTGTGTTCAGTGCATTTTTAGAAGAGTGCAGTGATTGTGTTCAGAAATAGTCCAAGTAACAGGCGTGGTAGGATGCTGAAACAGGATCATGGAGTTTCATCTGACTTCATTTCATGTTCCCCTTAGAGCCTACAAAACATCTGTTGGGCAACTTTTGTAAGTGATCCAAATTCACCCGATATCTTACTTCCTAGAACAGGCGTGTGAAACTTCATTTCATTTAGGGCCGCATTAGGGATGTGTTTGACTTTGGGGTGGGGCGGGGTCTGTGTGGCCAACTCATCATCACTTGTGTCTAAGGTACCTTTGAGCGCTCTCCCAGCAAAAACTGGCTTCAGAGCTCCATTTTCAGCTGCAACGGCTTCCTGCAATCCTCTGCCAGTGAAAACAGAGCTCAGGAGGGCCACCTGTGGCCCTTCCAAACTCCGTTTATGCTGGCAGAGGCACCACAGGCCAGTCCTTTGCTGTTTCCAGGGTGGTCCCATGGGCCAGTTCTGGCCCCCAGGCCTTGAGTTTGATATTGTCATAGAGGGAGCGATTGGTGGCAGCTTCCTCTCTGGCAGGGGATGTTTGGCATGAGTGAAACAAAAGCTGGGGCTATCCACTATTTCCTTGATTGGCCTAGAATAAAGATGAAAAATACAATTCACTGGCCTTGTTCTTGTGGCAAAATGTGCCACTGAGGGCAGCACAACTGATACATATTCAGTTCCAAGACTGGTGGATAGCACTCCAACTTGGCAAAAGTCCCTAGACTTTTGATGGTTTGCTAATTTAATAATACTTGACACTGCAAATCATACAATGCAGTAAAAATCTCACAATCCCGTGAGTTGGGTGTTTTCACATTGTAATTTTATGTTGCACATTAGTCCTGGAAGTTAACTGATATAGATTTATGCTTTAAAAACCACCACTAAAGGTACCTGAAAGATGGATAGGAACTGTGAATCAAAATATTGGAGGGAAATTAGATCAAGTCTGTCCTAACATTCTTATTTCAAACAGGGAATATTGTTCAGTCCCATGTGACTAGAAACTCCATTGTGTAATATATTTCTTCTAAATATATCTATACCATCAGGGGTGGGATTCTACCAGTTCGCCCTAGAACCGTGTGTTTACATTCTAAGCAGTTCGGAGAACCGGTTGTTAGAAGAAATTACTGGCCTAATCCTGTAAGGAAGGCAGGAAGGAAACATTCTGGTGTTGCTTGCAGAAACTGTCTCTCCGTTAACCCTTATTACATTCTTGGTAGGACTAGACTTCCTGTCTCTGGAACTTCTCTGGAGTTTTTCCCCCCTCCTTTGCTGGTACTTTGTGTGGTGACCATTCAGTTACAATGGCACTGAAAAAAGTGACTTATAACCATTTTTCACACTTATGACTGTTGCAGCATCCCCAATCACGAGGCCAGGTGAGATGTGTCCCTCGATGTGACGTTGAGTTGGCCACGCCCAGCCAATCACATTACCAAGCCATGTCCACCAACTAAGCCACGTCCAGAACCAGTTGTTAAAAAAATTGAATCCCACCCGTATACAATCCTATTGATTATCCTTTTACAGATTGCAAGTTACTCGCTTATCTTTTAGACTTTTTTTCTTTCCATTTATAGCCCTTGTGATACTTGGTAACAGCATCCCATGGTTTTTGCTCTTCAACAAATCACATTTTGTGAATCTCAGATGTGCATTGAGATATACCTTAGCGAATTTCAATGGGCTACAAAAAGTGGCCAAGTCCAATCTACTGTATAATAAAGGCTGGATTAGCAATTAGTACTGCCAGATCTGACAAATCAAGTAGTGATTTCAATTTTCAGTTGAAACATCTTAATTAAGGAAGTCACTGACTTAATCAAGTTTAGAAAGGATTTGCTTTCAAAAGTATTGTTCCTTTTAAATTACCAGATTGAAAATGGGCTATACTAAACTTGTGCACAAATTTACATTCTGTGTATCAATGGTGCATAGAAGAGGAAATATCAGGTGACTTCTCCCTGGATCAAAACTTGCTAGGCCTGCACTTGGAATGTGGTCTGGCTAAAGGTATTCAGGTGGGGACAGCAAGGAAGATAAAAATGGGGGTGGGGAGGTAAGTGGAACATGCTGGTCAGACGGTGGGAAAGCAAGTAGGCTAGTTGGAATGTGACAGCAATCACTTTTGTTATAAAGGTGATAGAATCAGGGATGGATGGCCCAGTCCTATATGCTGTGCTTTAATTCAAGAGTGGTACTGGAGATGAGGTAGTCTTGGGCTGATATACATAGGCCAAATGGAAGGTGAGGTGCATCAGTCTTGCCCTATTTCAACTAAAGATTTTTCTCAGGTTAAAGCCAGAACCAAATTGTTGGATCTTTACTAAATAAGCCTGCCCAAAATCCCAGCATGCATGTTTTATGCATGGAGTCAAACCCATTTTCCAGTTTGTACATACCCCTATTCTAGTTTAATCAATTTCCACATGTGTACAATTCTTCTCAAGCCTACAGTTCAAAAAAGCTGTCAGATCTTTTGAAATCTGACTAAATTACTTGTATCACTGATACAACTGTTTATTTCATAGCCAATAATTACAAGAATATGAATCACAAAGATGGCAAAAACATGACAAAACACACTATCTTTCATGTAAAAAAATAACTAATGCCTTATATTATCCAAGTAATATACAAGTTATTCTGCTTTTGTAAAGTTTCTATGTATATTAGACCATGTTCTGTAAAATGGAGCTGATAGAGGCTTGGAAAAACAAGGGTTAACTACAGACAAAAGTACAGTAGATTGTGTTATTCCATTATTTAATTTGGATTTGCCTATCAGGTAAATCCAAACTATTTTTAGGGTTTCTGAACAAGCCATGAAGTGTATAAACTAAGCCATAATAACCAACTACAGAACATTTAAGATAAGTAACTTAATAGTGCCTGCAAAAATAAGGGGGAAAGCAGCATACACTACACCAATTCCTCTTCATTAGTAACAAAATTTAAAGATGAATTTTAACTGTCACCCAACTTTAGGTTATAGATGTAATTATTTTCTCCAGAGTACTTTGATGATAGCAACACTGAATCCAAGATCAGTAAAGGCTAAAAATGCCATAAACTCTCCTTCCACCTTGATACCTATGAGCCTGGAATTTACATACTGCAAGTGCAAGACTATCTGTTGGACATCAATGGGTAATTGAAAAATACTGCTTTAATAATGAAGCCATTTGGAACATTGTGGGTGTTTTAGACTCTGGAAAATGCTGTCCAGTTTCTTTTTTTGAGGGGGGAATAGATCTAATCAAGCAAAGTAGCTTATGAAAGGCAGTGAAGGGAATTAATTATATTCAGAAAAATATATTGGGATTATACAATATTTGTCCATAGAAAGTCAAATTGAGACAATAACTAAGAATACATTTATATCAATCAAGGCTAATACTTAAAGACAATGTTAAGTACATAATAATCTATGTAGTTCTGCTCCATTTTGGCACTAACCTGTTGATTCCAGTGTTGTCAAATATTGGAGCTATGAGGCAAGTTTCCTAAATTTTAGGAAGATTATAACTTTACTTTGTCCCACCCCCAACTCCCTGTCCATTAGAGTAGGAAAGGACTTTCAATGCATACATCATTTTAGCTTCCCTTTCTTTTGCAATTTTTCTCAGCAGAGTAACCCAACACTCAATATTTCAAATGTTGAAACATATGGAAAGGGAACACAATACTTTTCTTTTAAGGTAATAAAAACAAAACAATATGGCATTGAATTTTAACTATTTGAATCTGAAAATAGCAGATATTTAGGATTTCAAGCTAGTTCTTCAGATATTGTTTTTATAAAAAAAAAACTTGGGGGGAATGCAATGGTAATATTGCTGTCTGAGGCTTACAATTCATATAATCTTGATTGCAGAATTGTAATGCTGAATTGTGCAGCCTTTCTTTTCCACATTATTGAACTTGAATTCCCAGAATTTCTGGGAATATTTAAAAAATACATTTTAGGACAATAGGAAACAACTAATCTTACCAATTTACCTTTTCAACACTTTGCTATTTCAGTTGTCTTACCCTGGTTTAGAAGATGTCACAAAGAACTCAAAAAATATCAAGCACTTCCACAAGTTAGTATTACATGGATCTCAAACAGTATCATGATTCTGACATATGAATCAATAACAAGTGATTTTATGATTCACAACTGGGAAAAAATGAAACAGGGCTGCCATCTCCAGAAACTTTACCATACAAAATATACCTAATTAAATGGAATTGAGGGAAATTCACACAATTTCTGCTTCAGAATCTATTTTCAAAGAAAATATAAAGAGCAGCCATTTCAACAAACATTCAAGTATCACAATGTTTATTGATAGATACAAGTATATAAAATCAGGGCATGAACATGTCTTGATAAATTAAGTAGACTTAATTCCAATACTATCGTAGGGATCAATTCAGTTTCTCACCATTTTATTTCATATCCACCAAGACCACTTCCAAGGGCACTATCCATCTCTTCAAACTGATCATTTTTGTGCAAGTAAACCATGTTTCTTTTTAAAAGACTTGTGCACTTGCCCAGGCTCAAGGATATTAAAATCTAGCACATAAAGCCCATTACTAGAGGTAGAAATACAGGCAATATACTATTACGGCAACCACCATCAATTACAGTTAAGGATTCTCTGTAACAACCAAATGGATAATCAAATATTGCAACAACTCAAGTATTACACTGAGCAAAGTGCATTTCTACAGTATTCAGTGTTGCTATTCAGATTTCTAACGAACAGCCTATGGTAACTGGCATCAAAGAAGATCCTTACACAGACTGCTTCTGAACTTATGATGTAATTATTGCATGCTGCTAATACACTGTTATCTAAACATTAAAGATATTCTAAAATATTTTTATGGTAGACTATGATTAAGACATACTACAAAAACCCTTATGCAGAAACAAGTCCTATTGACCCGCTACTGCTTTAAATATTGTGAAAACATTACAGCGGAATGAGTTTTCGCAGTGGTTAGGTCAAATGCAGTTACATCATAGCAACAGTATGTTTGCACAATTTAAGGCTTTGGCTGGTTTAATCAGCATCTTCTTCAGATTCTTCTTCTTCTGCTGTTTCCAGCCAGGTCAACCACTGGTTTACCTGCAATTAAACCCAAATACTATTATTAGAATGAGAAAAATAAATGAAATGAAATTCAAGTATATCTGGGGATTAACTACATATGAAACCCCTACACAATTTATTAAGAGTATAAAAATTATTAAAAACATGAGGCATATTCTCATGGCTCTAATTTTAAACTTTATAGAAATCTGATTTTTTTTTACAGTATGTTCTACGTTTTCCCTAATGAATCTGCAAGTACAATGAGGTAACTGTTTTGCTTAAACCTATGGTTAAACATATAGTAAGATAATTCACCTGGAACAAAGCTTTGCCTTTCCCTGGAAACTCTTGAGTAATATCTTCTTTCCATGCCAGAAAAGCTTCTTCTTCAATGATTTCCATATCATAGAAATGCACAAAGAAGCGCAGCAACATGCCTGTAAGAAATATTTTGCTTTTTTACTCAGATCTTTTAAATGGCTATTTTAAGATAGCCATTTCTTTAGCATCAGTGGCGCTAAAATTTACTGTTCAGTCATTTCGCTTAGTTCCATAGAAAGTGGTAAGCAAATCTGATACCAACTTATACAAGCACTTCTCTAGCTGTATGACTATAGGAACATTTGGCTAGAATTCCCTCTCATCAAATGCACATGAAAGAGGGAGAGGCAAAAAAATTTATTTTTACCTTTTGGAAAATTGTTGTTGTAGCAGTGCACTTGGAGTGCGTACAGGGCACTCACTTGTAGATCAACATGGTCGTGAAGGAATTTCTGCATAACTGGCTTAAAGGAAAGAAGCAGCTGTTTTTCTTGCTCCAACTGTTCTTTAGAAGGAGCAGATGAAGAATCTGGTTCATCATTAGGTGGATTTACTTCACTAGAAATATACTGCAAGAAACTAGAAGAATTGGAAGGAAATGGTGTAAATTGTTTAACAAACTCATCCATGTAAAGCAAAGAAAAAGCAGATTTTTTTTCTTTGCTCAGCATATATAGATAGATAAATAGAATAATGAAATAACCCCACCATTGCTATAATCAGCTTATATTATAGTATCTTTAGCTCATGCGTGACATGCAACAAACTGGTTTGTTGCATTTCTCACCTGGTCATCAAAATATTAACAAATCCCTTATCTACATGTAGTTTTGGTGAAATGTTGTCTTTAATCCATTTATAGATTGTTTGAGGGGATGGGTCCAACTTAATTTGCTTCAATAGCTCCTTTTCCAGTTTCAGAAGTGGAAATAAGAAGCTAAGTCCTTTCCCTTCCAATATCTCCAGCATACGATCCTTATTCTGGTCAATCTCTGTAACATATAGAGATACAAAGATACAAAACTGTCCAAAATATTCTTTGAGCTTGTCAACTTAATATACTATATATTCAATCTTTAGCTCATATTTTAAAAACACCATAATATTTAACCATTTTTTCTAACTAGACATTTATTATAGTTACCCATCTACTTCCCAGTGTACTCATTCTTTACCTGGCAGCATCTTTTGCATGTTCACTTTGCTCTGTTGGAAAAGGTCGGTTAGCCATTCTCGATCCTGCAGCTTGGCTAACTGCTGAAGGCAAAGTAGGAAGAGGGGAAAATGGGTGCCACTTTCCAATGGTTGTGCTAGTTCAGAGATGCTCACGAGTTCTGAAATTATGGCACGAGCTGCAAACTGTGCTAGATAGGATTTTACCAGAGGAATGTCCACCTCTAGTTTAGGGCACTGGTCCAATACATTTAGGAATGCCTGAAAAAAAGTTTACTAGCATTAATTATATTCTCCCGTGTCTGGTTCTGACAACAAACAATGCAAAGACATCAAAGTATATTTATGAATATATGCATTACCTGCATGAAGTTGTCACTAGTAGCTATCCCTTCCTGTTTAAGTAAATTGATTAATGCGCTTGCTTTTTCTTTATCTTCATCTGATCGATCTAGTGACTGAAGTACTATTTTGCTCAGCATGTCAGAAATAAAATGTTTTGGTGCCCTCATTTCTCTCACACTGTTGACAGCATCATTGGCATTTCCATTGTTCAAATATTCAGTCACAACAGTTTCCTAAAAAAGGAGGAAAAGGGTTTTTCTCTCTGTCTCTAATTCTTTACAGTTATCACATACTGTAGTTTGAGAGCAGACTAAATGAACTTACCGTTAACTTGAGCAGCTCTTCCTTAGAAGGTGGTGGCTTTTTACTTGTCTTTGCAGGCTTCTCCTGAATAAGTGGTGGATTTGTTTTGAGACCAAGTTGAGGTGGCTTAAAAAATAAAACACTAGAAGTTTAGAGGTGTATTTATTAACAGTAATGCATCAATCTTAAAATATTTGCTAGTTTCAAACTGCAACTTTAAGCATTCTTTTAACCAAGCCTTAATTAGTAGAGCTCCACAGCACTGGCAAATTGACAAAAATTGTATCCTGGAATAGCCTAGTAAAGGCTTTCACTTTCATGATCACCATTAAGCATATTACTTAGTTGTCTCAATCAAATCTCACTGTTTACCTGGATTTCCTCTCAAACAAGCAAATATTGTGGAATTCCAGGATCTTGCTAAGCATTTGTTCTTCTGAACTCTTAAATAGAAGAAAATGACTTACTGGAGACATGTGCTGCAATGCTCCGAAGTGCCTCTATAGGACATAATATTCTCAGATATGCAATCACCACAATAAAAAATAGGCTATAGTCTTCATTGTTCCCTCCCCATTATTTTAATACCTTAAAAGTGCATATGCTTTCTATAATGCACCTTTATAATGAATATAATCAATAAATCTTTGATTAAAACATTAGAGAAACATTTACCTGTCCCAGAGGTGGTGTCTGGGTACGTTGTGGCTGTGCACTGGGAGGAATCATAGTTATCTGGGGCTGAAGCTTTGGCACTTGGTTTTTGTTTACTACAAAACACTGAGCAGGTCTCAGACTTATCTGTGAAAAGAAGCTGGATATTAGAAATCTGGAGTATGGTTCTATTATGGTAGTAGTGAAAACTACCCATAGCAGAGTTGCATGTTATTTACAAGCACTGCTAAGTTATAGCAATAATATTTTTGAGAAAACAATCTGTAAAGTTTATAATGGCTTTTTATATCTCCATCCAGCAACTGAAATTACTTCAACAGCTCTTGTTTATGCCCTCATATCTCATAATCTTGCTCATAGGACACTGGAAACTCCCAAGAAGGAGGAAGGAGTGAAACTCCAAGAAAGGGGGGGGGGGGGGGGGAAAAGAGAAGCAGGGGGAAAAAAGGAAAAGATGGATAACTGGGGGGGAGGGGAGTGAACAGCAGGAAGGTAGAAGGGGAGCTCCAGTGTTGATCCTCGTAATAACGCGTCTTGTTATAATCACTGGGCATCTTTTAAAAATTGTGCCTATTCTTTTTCAAGGGCATACCTCATCTGCATTAAGCTGTCCCTTCTTAGAAAACCGTGGAGGCATATCCTTAGACTGTCCTTGTTGAGACAGAAGTCCCTGATTTTGATTATGGTATAGTTGGCTTTGCCCCTGTTTTCAAGACAATGAAAAGAAAAATAAAGACTGTAACAGTAAACTTTTCTTTATTATAAAAATATTTTTTCAAATATTCTATGTGTACTGCATTTTACATCTTGTTAGAATTTGTTCTACCATGATGAAATTATTATTACTATCTTACCTTTCCATCAGTTCTAATTTCCAATTTTTCCTCACAGCAATCCTGTGAGGTAGGTTGGATTTTAAAAAACTGCCCCCAAGTTGTTCTCTGATCTTCCTTGGTTAAGAGTGGATCGAGGTCTTGCTAATTGTAAGCTAGCATTTTAAACATCTCAACTGTTACAGGCGGGTTGTTTTATAAGGAAGCTGATTCAAGCTGTTCTAATCAAAAGGCAAAGTATAAATTCTGAGTTTATGACTCAATCCCAGCAATTACATCAGTGCTTCCCAAACCTGAATCAATTACCCCAAATTGGGTGAACATGCTTTGTTCTTTTCTCACGAACCATTATCCATCACAACAGGGACATTTAAATTGACTTAAAGATGGCCACATGTACTAGAATATATTTGAATTTCTCCCAATTTATCCTATTAAGACAAGAATTGATGAAATCACCAATAGTAATTCGTTGAAATGACAAAGATAATTTAGTTTTGTAATACAGATAGTCCCTCCAGTTATGACTATTTTTCCAGTGACTGTTCAAAGCTATGACAGTACTGAAGGAAGGGACTCAGGAGTAGCCCTTTTAAGGCTACTTAAAAAAGCCCTTTTGATTAAGACTTTCTGATAAGCGATTTTTAGGTCACAAAGGAAAAAAGTTTGGGAACCACTGAATTCGATACAAATGTTCATAAAGAAGATGCATCAAGTATAATATTTGGGAGCTATTAATTATGCTTTGGATTTTACATAAATAATAGAAATATACATTCTTTTTATTCTAAATTTTAGAAACTGGGGAAAATATTGTAAATGAAAGTGAAATTGCCCGTGGAAAGAGGCAGAAAAAGACCCCAATCAATTCCACTCCCTTATTCCTGGGTGCTCCTGACGCTGAGGGGACATTTAAAAAACACACTAGAAGAATATGGAGACAAAGAGAAGTACTCTTGTTACTTACAAGGGGAGTTCCGTGTTTTTTTTTTAAACCTTCCAGAAGATGGCAAGTATTATATAAGCAGCAGGTGCAGACATAATGCATTTTTGGAGAAGCAGCGAAGGGTACTAGAGACAAACTAGTTCATCCATCAGCTATTGTGAAAAATGTATTGGACAACAAAAAATGCTTCAGGAGGAACAACGGTGGCAATCCCCAAGGAGAAAAAAAAGCAAGCCAGGCAGAGGAGAGTGGAGAGATGATAGAACACAAAGAACCAAACTTGTAAAAATGAGCTTTGTTTCCTTGGAGCTTCGGAATAGATTCCAAAGACTCCCTACTGATGTTGTTTCTGGACTTCTGGATTAACTTCAGCTGCCACAGGGGCCAAAGATGGCTACAGAAGTTCTGCAAAGAAGACAATTCCCATCTCTGCCTTGGGGCAACAGCAAAAGACGTTTATTTGAGACTTCCTATTGAGGGACCAAAGCATCAATCGCAATGAGCTAGCAGTTTTATCAAGAGGAAGGTGCTGCCTTTCATGGGCTCACATTTGGGATGTAATAGAAAACCTATCAGGTCTCCTTAAGCTCACTGAAGAATAGTCCTTTTTTAGTGATTCTGGTGGGAATAAATGGCAGACAGTGTTGAAAACATTGTAAGACTATAAAGCACAGGGCTATTAGGTAAGGTTTGTTTTTTTCAAAACAACCCTTTCCTGTTGAAGGCTGTGAACCCCGAAGCAAAATAAACTTATGTTCACAAGGAAAGCTAAAAGTAACATGAAAGTTCTTTTTCCCCAGTTTTGTCAAAGCAAGAAAGCCATAATGGACAACTAGAGTGTCCGTGAAGAGACTGATTATATCCAAGAGCCTTAAACGAGCTTGGCTATCAAGAATGGTTGTAGTGCCAAAAGAGTAGGGGCAAGTGTAGTAAGATGAAGAACCCAGCTGATTACAGACCTACAAGCTTGTTGCTGATATTGGACAAACTCCAGAACAGAAATATGACTGTTAAAACATTTAGAAAAGAATATATTGCTTAGCAGGAATAGCATGTCCTTAGGAAATAATAAAGCATGGCAAAGAGTTCCTCTATTGTTTGCTTGACTACAGAGATATAGTAAACATAATTCCAAACCATTTAATCAAGTTTCCTACAAGATCCTTGTAAAGATGATGACAACATTTAAGCTGCCTGCATTACTGTTATGAGGATATAGACTTAGCTGAACATACAGGCTCTGTGTTATTCAACACTGACTTATAAAATGGGTTAAAAACACCAAAAGATTATGAAGTTTTTGGCTAATAAACAAGACAAATACTTAAGAGGACAGTTTCAGGATTCAAGAGGATGTGACAAGCTAGAACAATGGACAGAAACTAACAAGATGAATTTTAAGAAGAATGAACCATGCCTGTACCATATATGTGAATTATCTCATAAATTGCAAGATGAGCTAATAGCATAATCCAGTTCCAAGAAAAACACAATTTTAATTTGCATTAATGATAGTGCAGTTTAAAGATCAAGATAATTATTGCATTCTACTCTGTATTAATTAGATCATAACTAAACTCTAGTATCTTTTCTTGGCACTGTCAATATCCTTCCAAAAATACAAACTTGAATAAAAAAAGGGGAATAACTGAGACGGTTAAGAGCTGGAAGAAAAGGCTTATTTGGAATAGCTGAGTGAGCTGATACATTTAACCTGGAAAAGACTATGAAGACATGTCTTCAGGTTTTTGAAAGCTGGTCTATGTGAATAGAATACAATAGACCTTCTTAGTGGTGTTCTAAACACAGGACAAGGAACAGTGGTTTTAAATTATTGCTATTTATTGTTATTGGTGCAAGTCATTCATGATGGATGACCTTGCACATTTCTTAGATATAAAAAACAGCATCTATCTTCTATCAAAGTCACTTACTGGATTTTTCAAGAAGGATTTGCCTAGCTCTCCAAAGTGGGATTGAACAGGAGCCATGAGGTGTCCCCCATGGCCATTGAAAAGTTGATTTGACCGGTGTCGCCCCATGGTAGGTGAAAATCTGTCTTGAATAACTCCCGGACCAGTACCAATTCCACTACCTGAATTCATAAAGCACACAAAAGACAAGAGGATTATAATTCAGGATATCTTTATCAAAGTAATTAAAGAAAGTAGAAGACACATGTGTCATTTCTTCACTAAAGTAATATAATTACCAGGCATTTGTCCAAACATATCAGCAAGCCCTCCAAGTGGATCCCTGTCAAGTTTCATCCTGGGTGGCATAAACGGTCCCTCCAGAAAGAAGTCACTTCTCATTCCTTGAGACAGAGGAGGAGGAATAAAAACTCCCAGATCCTTAAAAAGAAAGTCAGTTGAAAATCAAATTAAAAGCAGCATTTAATGCCTATTAATGACTTGCACAGCTAAATCCGTATCTTGTGAAATACTTACTTTCACAGCATCTTGACGGATTTGATTGATAGTCTTTGGTCCATTGTCAAGAAAAGCTTTGCGAGGAATCCAATTGTGTTCTCTCAACTCCACAGTATCCTTCAAGGATTAAACAGAACAATGTTAGCTTCAAGGCATATATGCTAGATTTGTCACAGTAAGCAATTTTATACTCTTACCTGCAGCAGGAAACGAATCCTTGCCGGCAATTCCTTACACATCATCAAGGAGCGCATACGGGCAAAGTACTGATCCATTAAGGACTGTTGAGAAAGAAATTCATTAAATTTGGCAAGTTGACAAGTTACCAAAAAGAACAAACATTAATATGTACTAGTTATTCTTATTTGCGAATTAAACATTAACCACAATATTTTATCTACAATAACCTATCCCCGGAGAATGAATACTAATAGCATAAATATAGATATATGCAATTCTACTGATGCTTACCTTGGCTTTTGCATGGTCTAGTCTAGGTCCTACTGTCCTCATTATCTGACAGAGGCACTCCAAATCCTCCCCCATATCCTTGAGTTGGACTCTCTTCTTCTTTTCCAAAAGCTGGGTAATTTTAAACCATAGAACATTTTTTACTGCCATTTTACAACTTATTTTTATAAGACATATATCAATGAAATAGGTATTAAATAACATTAAACAATACGTCCAAGTAGCAAAACAAATGCTGTTTCACTTAAGATGCTATGGCCAAACAAGCTACACAATTCCCTTTCAGTCCAGTGTTTTATGCAAACTCAACATTCCATTCCATCTATAAACTAGTGTAAAATGTTAAGGATTCATGAAAAGAACATCAACACAATTGATACTTTTGATTAGCAACATTTTCATAAGAGATCCAACCACATGAAAATACAAATAAGGTAAGGACCTTTTAGTTCTGGTTAGTGCTTTGCATTGGTCATATGACCTAGAATTTTCTATCCAGATTTCTCAAGCAGATCTAACAGGTTTTCCTTAAGATGTTAGCCAATGCATAAAAAGGAACAAATTTTATTTTAGGAAATTTATTGTTAACAGTGTTTGCCCACCATGTAGTCACTAGTAGATACCACTTAATTATTTTTCCCAATTTTTTTTTACATTACTAGCTATCTCACCAAGTTTACATAGTAGTAAAGATTAAAAAACCACTTACTGTTTTGATGCACTTATGAAGGATAGATTCATGAATAAGATCAAGCTTGCCAAGTTCTCCAATGAATTTGATGTTTCCCAGCATCTTGATCTTAGCAATAGCTCTCTGTTCCTCCTCCTCTGGGAGGAGGGGGCCATCTTGCTTATCATAGACTAAAAACCGAGATAAGTTTTAGACATTGTTCCACTTTTATGACAAAAAAACAAGCAAACCAAGAAATACAATATTTTGAAAACTTACTATCAACATTTCTGGTTCGGTTTTCAAATTCATCTTGAAGTTTAGAAATTAAGAGGCGTCTGAATGTCTAGGATTTAAAACACAAACATGTTAATGTCTTCTCTTTTTAAAATACCAATTCTCATAATGCCTTTAGTCCAAAAGAAAATTATACTCACTGTGCTTTGCTTCTGTCCTGGATGACTCTCTGCGGATGGGCCATCAAAGTTGGGTGCATCTTCTGCCAGTCGCAGACATAGTTGAGCATATAGCGAGCTATACTTTGGCTCTTCAAGGGCTTTGTCTACGATCTGAAAGCAGAGACTTCATAAATTATATGGAAGTTTGTTTAATATTTAAAACCTGCACTTTTAAATGATCTTACCTAATCCTATGTAATTTTATTGATGTTTCAGAAATTCACAATGACAACTATGCAGTACAAAAAACTATAGTGTAGTTAAGATTCCCTACCTTGCTCTTCCTCAAAACAATTAAGTAATGGGACAATTTCATTAATCTACCAGGTATTAATGTCCAATAAACAAAATCTAATGTATTTTAACAAACACAATAGTGGAAGATAAGCTGCATTTCCATGCCTGCTTTCTACTCTTGGAACCTGGTTGAAGATTATCTAAACAATCATGACATCTGAAACACACCAGCTCAGTGTTTTCTCTCAGGTCACACTACAGCCATATTATTTGCTATGAGACAGTATTCTCTTGCGCTTAGAAGTTTCTATCTTTACTAGTAAGATAGGAAAAAGCTCAACTGATTCATATAAGCATACACAGGAAACAGTGCCGCTACACAGTGGATCATTTGAGAATAATCCATTCTCTAAGTTGCTCTGTTCTATAACACAACTCCTATATAATATCCATGTTCACAGTACAGTAAACAACTTGCAAGCTGTACATTTTAAGAACCTTGAACAATTATACCTGCCATACATAATATAAATTTTATTAAACAGCATTTTTCTAATAAATTTGTTATCTTACCAGCAGTATGATCCCCTTTAGGATGAGTTTAGACTCTACACCCACATTGAGGAGCTCAAGGCATAGCTTGTCAAACTTTTCAGGAGTAAGCTTATTTAGTATGCTAAAGGAAAGAAAACAAATCAAGGCTTTTCTTAGTCAAGATTTGACTTGTTTACTGCAGTTTAACTTATGAAAACTTTTTGCTAGTATTAATCTTAAACTGCAAGCAGTTTTCAATTTTAATCTGTTGGAAATTAAGTCTTATACTAAATGGGTAATTGTGTAACTGGTTACTCAAAATCAATCTGAATTACAGTCCAGATACTTTGAAAGCCCCGATTGTAAGTGCTGATTTGGCAATAAATAAAGCAATACACTAGGTACAGGCTAAGTGGGTCCTAAAAAACAGGAAAGCTAAGAAACAAGGATAATGAAATAAACACGTTAAACTAAAAGAAAAAAATAGATCGAGATGAGAAGTGAAGAACTCAAGGGGGAGGGAGGGGATAGATAAAGCAAGGTATTAAGATAGGAAATGCCTACCGTGTTTCTCATATAATAAGGCCGGGTTTTTTTTTTTTTTGAGCCCCGAAAAAATGGCTAGGCCGTCTTTTCGGGGGTGACTTAATTCCCCCCCCTTGCATCTTCAGGCGGGCGGGCGGCGATGGCTTGGATGTTGACCTCGGCGTTGGTGGGGCACTTCGTATCGGGGTCAACGCAGGCAGCACCATATCCGGGTGTGCAACAAAAGTACTTCCTAATGGCAAGCCCCCCCACCATTCCCCTCCATTTCGCATGTTTTAATATAGGCCTTAATTTGGGGGGAGGGGCTTAATTTCATTTCATGCCTATAAAACATGCTGGGACTTCCTATTGGGGGAGGCCGTATTGTTGGAGAAACAGGGTAGTATGAGCAGCCTTCTAATAAAACTAAGACATTAAGAGCTGAATTACAGGTACTACAAAAAGGGGTGGAGAATAATATAAACAGAGATAGGGTGACTAAACAGTGTGAAATAAAACAGGTAATGCCATAAAAAATCAAGACACTGAACAATGGGTATAAAATACAAAGTAAAAAGCAAGAGAATGCAGGACAGAGTAAAAATGCAAAGCCTTGACCCAGATTCAAAGCAGTCATGAAACACACAAATGTTATTGAATATGGGCATTGGTGTCAAGAGTCCAGTGGATCTATCAGAACAGTAATAAATTCTGAGAAATATAATTCAACAACATTTAGTGAATCAGTAATTTCTTCCTCCTGGCCTAGACTATGCTAATTCAACATAAAAACAATCTACCAAATCAACACAACACTGCAGAAGCTTAATAAAAAAAATTTTTTTTTGGCTTCTGCCCAGAATCATGCCATCAAGCATTCTTAAGACCACAAAAGCAACTCAATATGGGCTGAACTAGTTATAGTCTAATGGACTGGATCTACAAAAACCCCCCACCTCACAATATTTATTAATCTTTTCAATTTGTCTCCATAAAGTTTTTAGATAGGACGATTGCCCCCAAATCTCCTGTGTTTCCATGGCTGAGATGATTTGAACATGTGCCCTCCACCTTGTCTCTATACCAAGCAGGCTCCTTAGATTCTATGCTCAAAGAGAACTCAAGAACACCTTTAGAAAATTGTGGCTTTGCAACTAGGAAAATCTCAATTGGAAATAAATGGCTGGGAAAACAAGTATACATTCTGTGTCTTAGATGTGAATCACATATTGGATTATAAAATGCCACTGACAATTAAACTGTTACCTCAAAACTTACCCTCTTACTTTCCTGAAGATTGCATCATGTCGTTCTTTGTCATTTGCGGAGTCGTCATCTCGTCTAGTGCTTCGTGAAGGAATCCATTTCTGAGCGTTTTGCCCTGGGGTTTTCCCCAGGAACTCGCTTTAGAAATAGAATAATAATTTATTAAAACCTAGTGTATTCCCATATAATCTGGAAACAATAGGCTCAATTTTAAACTTGTTTTCAAATCGGGAAACTCAAAGTTTGAAATTGCAGTACTATAACCTGGATTTTTTAATAGTTATTATTTAATCACTTTTGAACTCATTTTTAGAGCTTTGAACTCATTTGAAGAATTCTCTTACAGGAGCAGTTATAGCTAAAAATTCTCAGCAGACGTAAGAGACATATGTCAAACATAATGAAATAAAAATAATTAAGAAGGAATTAAAGCTTGGAACATTCCATTTATGGATAGACCATTTCCTGTGTAATGGTGTTATGGCACTTCATTCTAAATTTGAAGCAAAATGGAATAAACTGTCCTTGAATATTCAAATATTTCACAATTTGCATTTCTAATCTTCTAAATTATGGGGAATTTGGGTCCAGAGATTCCATTTCTGCTTTCACTGGTTGGATAAAGTCCAAGAGGCTGGAGAAGATAGTTAATTATATATTCAAAGATCTATGAATTTCTACTTTGTGGAAAACAGTAGACTTGCAAAATTGATATTGACTAATCCATATTATAAACTGAATTTCAGATACTATTGCCTGTATAAGCAATCTTCCACCCCATTCCGTAAGCAGTGTTCCTTTTGTTTTCTTATGCCTAAACACCAGGATAAATCTGACTCAACAGAAGGCAAGCAGGCATCATCCCTACCTGCAGTCCTACTACTAATGCTATTTATATGCTAGACAAGGAAGGTAACCGTTAGTCCTCCAAAGGTAAAGAGACTTTCTTATTTTTGTGAGGGCTCAGAAGGAAGACTCTAGGCACAGCCAAGTAGTGTACTGAAATATTATTTCTAAAAACCATTATTTCTACCAGTACCAGCTAAGAGCTTAATTCTAGCATTAGGTTTTCCTTGGGACATTGGGAGGGGGGAGGACAAATTAGAGGCCTGAAAAGCATCAAGACACTTGCAGAATCTTACTTCAAGTACAAAATGCAACATTCAATACTGCTTTAGTGGCAGATGTTTGGATGGCCAGTGCACATCTGTTCAGACTAAACATGTATCAAATGTCCTCCAGCCAAAATTTTATGTGAAGCTTTTTAGGATAGATGACATTCTATAATCTATCTCAAATGCTGATTTGCTAGAATAACTGATCTTCAAGGCTAACCTGCTTCTGCTTAATTTTTTTGATCTGCCTGAATTCTCTTTCCCCAGTCTATAGTCAATCAGCAGTTGTCCTAACATTCAGAGTCATCTGATTGGCTGGATAGGATGCTCCGACTCAGACATTGTATGGCTGCAGCAGAAATTACATTAGACAATGACTGCTGCATTCCTGGAGTTTAAGATGGTAAATAGGATTCAGAATGGATTACCAGCCACTTATGCTTGCAGTCCTGAGACAGCAATAAGGAAGCTGTTTTGAATTTCTAATGTTCCCTATTGTGGAATACTCAAAACGCTTTGGATTTCATTCTATTGGGATATTCTGCATGCTTTCACGCATGCCCTATTAGAGGAAAACACATACCAGACAAAAACCTTAAAATACTAAGACATGAAGTAGTTAACAGAACAAAACACTGATTGGTTTCATACAGACTTTCAATTTACATTTACTATTTACAAAGGAATTTAACTTTATAAATTAAACAATGCATCACAAATCCGTATAATAGCCAATATAACACTGCAAATAGTATGCAATATACCTGTTGCCGGCAGTCTTGGGATAGTGCTGAAGCGCACCCCTACCTCCTCCTCCGCCTGAAGAAGCACTATAAACAAAGAATAACTGCTAAATAATTTTTGTTTTGTATGCAGGAAAACAAAATTTTGTAGTTTAACCAGAACTGTTTCGTAAACAACTTGATTTGAGAATACAAACTTCCCTGGACAATTAGTTTTTTCCCCCTTCTGCACAGGTTAAGTATTTTCTGGTAACCTGATCTGAATCAACTAATATTTTTTATATAAAGCTAAAACCACATGAAGCACTATCCTATTCTTAAAGTCTATATAAACACAACAAATACACAGAAGATACTTGTTTGTTGCCTTTTAATATATGGTCTGTAAAACTTAGAAACTGTGTTAGTGGAATACACTAAGCCATGTATTTAATTTCATTAGTTGTGACTAACTGCAAAAAGAAAGAAACCTTAAAAGGTTAAGAAATTTTTCTTCAGACAAAAATGCTTTGTGTTCCCATCTGTTTCCTTGTCAAAAAGCTTTACTTACCTGAAACGAGAAGCACCCCCTTCTGCAATCGCACTCTCCACTTTGGCGGCTTGGCAATGAAGAATCTTCCAAAGAATAATAAATTGACAGGATAGGGAAAAACAAAACCTAGAAGGCAAGAGTCAACAATGTAAGTTTTTGATTAAAGTTTCAGTACTAGCACTCCCCCCAGATTTAAACAAAAATAGTTTCCCAAAGATTTTGGTATTCAGAGTCTAAATAATCATCATTTCCTAGAATCTTATATAATTTGCATTCTGGAATTTCCGAGAATTTTACTTGACATCAGAACCCAAGTTTCTTCCTCATCTGCACCTCAAGTCAGCCCTGCCTCCTGCTGATTCCACATACATATATATATATATATCCATTAAAGTCTTACATACTATATAATTTTAAATATTTCACAACAAATGCTGTGCATAAGCAAAATCTAGGCAGTTTACCATCCATATTAAAAAAAATCCCACCATGTATTATTTTAGTGCCCAACATGACATGTCCTTATAAACCTGATAAACTTGACAAATTCAATACAATACCGGTAATTTGCAATATCCTAATTATATACAAAAGTCAGGATTCCGAAGGCAGCTAAGAAAAACGAAAGCAACATCCAAACACACTTTTCCAGGAAGGATTCCTATATATGTGCCCCAACTTAAATTGCACCTCTATCTACATTAAGAAGACTTCGAAGTAAACCAAAACACAAAGGCGTCCAATCTCACCGAGGCCCGCCACATCTGCAACCTCCACGGTTCTTATTATTCCCGCCACCGACCTAACCTTAAAAATACGCCTGCAAGGCGGGCGAGAGATGGCGTGGCAAAGCCCAACTAAAAGAAAACCCCTCCGTTTAATCCCGCCGATCCTCGGGACAAGCTGTGGAAGCAGCTTCAAGCATCCTGCTCAAGTCATCCTCGATCCCTTCCAACGGCGCTGGCCACCGCCCGACTCCCAGGCTCAGGCACAACCCCGACAATAGGCCCGGCCTTTGTTCTCGGTTCATAGCCTGATCCGCAGTTGCCGGCTATTCAGCTCCAGCAACGGAGATGGGGCAGTTTCAACTTTTCCGGAGCGAGGGGCCCAGCGGTGGATCCGAAATTGATTCCACTGAGAGTTTAAATACAGTTCTATCTTTCCTATAGAATAATACGAGCCACGGGTGAGAAGTAGTATATTCTCTATTCGTCGAGCCGCGTGGAGGGCTAAAAGGCATCGGACTATCCCGACACCTGACTTAGCCATAATCACGACCTTCACTCAAAATCAGCCACCTCTTTCTCCCCCTCAGACACCGGCTGGGCGAAGACCGGTGCCGGCCGCCATTTTGTTGCTCGGCAAACGTGCAAAACCGAGATTGCAACCGAACAAGATGGCGGCGGTTTTAGGTAGCCGCCATTTTGCATACCAGCAGCCGATTCTTCCTTAGCCGCCTTCGCTCGCCCCCGCCTCAAATGCTCCCAAATCCAAGCAGCACCAGCCCCGCCGACTTTCCCCCTCGATTATCATCTTTGTCAACGATGGTCATTTCCTCACCTTCCCTACAGCCTCGTCAGCGTCCCCAGGACCGGCGGCGAGGGCTGGGAAGAGGCGAGAGAAGGGTGGGGGAGAGGGAGCCGGGGATCGGGGCTGGGAGAGGGAAGGGGGAGAGAACGAACGGCAGGACGGATCTCTGAATCACCACAGCAGCTACCAAGCACTTCTTTCCGTCACCTCCATAGAGATCGGACCAACTCGCCGCCGCTTCCAATGCGTACTGAGACAGCCCCACTAACTTTATTACACAGCGTGCAGCTAAGCCCTCCTCAACAAGCCGGCTTCCAATCGACGGCTGAGACTTTGTCGGAGTAGCCAATCACAACGAATAAAGGAGGTGGGTCCAGGGCAAAGGAGGGGGAGGAAAAGAGGTAGGTTGACGGGAAGCAGCGCCGCAGTGCAGCATCGGATTCACAAAGACTAGCACCTCCTTTCTCCTGCGTAGAAAACCAACTCGAGTGGTAGATTGCGCAAATGGCGTACCGGGTTAATTGGGACTGGCTGTACGCCGCTTTTTTTCTCCCAGCGCCGTATTTGCCTCCAGTGACAGAAGCTAAAAAGCAACTCTCATTGAATTTTAGATGCGGATATTCTTGGGTCGGTTTCAATAGCGTGTGCCTTTGGCAATGGCACACAGATCCCCCCCCCCCAGTATAGTTCCCGGCGAAACCATTTGGTGGGCTTTGTCCTGATAAAAATGATATGCTTAGAAGCAGCAATGCATGTAGACCGAAGCTCTAGTTTAAAAGAGGTACCCAAAAATCAGGACGCCGATTCCAAGAAGGGATGAACAGGACTGGGCATTGTTAAGGAAGTGCCGTGATTGTGTTCTTTCCGATATGAAAATGGTTACTGAACACGTTTCCTCTCCTCCCCTCCGTTCCTCGTCTGCTCCAAATCCATTTTTATCAGGCTGAAGAACAATGTTCTAAAAAACGGCTCAAGGCTTTACCTCTTGGCTCTGACCGCAAGTGAACTGAATAATGCATGATCTTTTAGAATAATTTCAGCAAGACTCAGCACATCTATCTGGGCTCACAATCAAAAGTGCTGAAAATCCTACAAGGCATAATGTTGCTTGCTACATATCCATCTTTTACATGGTGTAAGCATTTGCCCCGAAAACACATCACATTGGGGTTATGAACACATTTTGAACGTTTAAACTGAAGTATCTGGTTTTCTATATCAAATAAGTAAATACTTCATGATTTCCTGATTGAAAAAAATCATTTTACTTAAACACTTCTTTGAACTTCAAGAATCAAGGTTGTATGATAATCCAGCTCATACCACTAACAGCAATTTCACAATAATTCATTCCAAACCATACTTGTGCAATAGTTAATGACTTCCCACCTCACATGACTCCAGAAGACACAAATTTAACAAATAAATCTTAGTTATGAAATTATGTGCTTGTCACAATCCAATATAAATTTTGAAAAACAATACACTATGTAGTGTTACATTGCATTAGGATGACCAGGCAAGATATGAAGATAACCTTTCATGGTTAATGCCTCCTGTCTAATAATCATATCTTACTGTGTAGGATCTGAAGATGAAAAAAAGGAAACTAGCAAAGAAGATACAAGTGGAGAGACTGCAGTTAGCTAGAAATAAAAATGTGGAAGAAGTCTCACTGCACAGTTTGCTTCTAGAGAATCTAAACCTCCTCCATTGGATGTTTCCCTATTTCCCTGCGCTCAGTTGATACCGCAAACTATCATGTCCTTCCAATTCTATTTCTTTACAATAAAATATAGATTACATCTAAAATGTCCTATTACTTGAGGAATGGACATACTGAATACAATATTTCAAATTTTCTTATCTAGTTACCTTCATATTTCTTTAAAGACCTCTCTCCCAGAGGTCTTACACATTTTTTACAATTATACTGTTCACACGTATAGAGAGGGTACACTTTCTTATGTCATGACTTGAACCATCATCTAATTATTTAGTCTGAATTTCAGGGTATGTACTAAATCAAGACACAATTTTGCTAAATTCTGGATCACTAGAAATAGTTTTACATATGACTCAGCACTGGTGAGTAAACACCCACACACTTTCTTTTATACAATCTAACTTTATTTGCTTGCTTTACCAGATTCAACCTCATTTCATATAAATATACAGTATATTAAAAACTATCCATGTGAAACACTTACCTTAAAATAATTTAAAACTATAACCTAGCCACATCATTTTGATTCCAGACAAGGCTTTAAGTGTGATAAAAATACTAACTTGTGGCATTGACTCTGTGGTTCAGTGAAAAAATGGAGGATCTGAAGTGCTGGCTCTGAGTAGATTGATAAAGCTATACTGAGACAATCAGAACTGCCAATGTTCATTAGCAGGATTCTCCAGAGTGGACAATACTGACTCCTAGAGATCAAAGGAACTATCCAAAAGGTCAGTGTTGTTATTACTATTCATAGTACTACTGGTATTAAAGTAAAATTTATTAAATTATTTTTATATAATAAATTTTGGGAATCAATGGACAATCTAAAACTTCAAGAAGAGGTTGACATGGTGAACAGTTTGGGGGGCCCTATTCTATTGTATGTATTTGAGTGGTCTTCCAGTTGTGAAATATAAAATGAGTTTTAGTATGGCATACTTACCCAAATGCTGATACCTGGATTAAGTAGTTTATGAGACACTGAGGAAACTGCTTTTCACTTCTCTGTTATCAAAGGGAACAGTTCCTCTTCCCTATTGAGTGAAAAACAAAAAGGCAAAATTTAAAATAAGTATCTTTAAGTGAAATGGTGGTTCAGGTAATGACAATAAATGTCTAATACTGTTTGTTTTACATAATCGTTGTCAAAAATTGTGTGTCTGCTTCAACATATTTGCAAATTTACTTTTTCAAGGCCAAGTTCCATGTTAATTTTACATAAGTATTATCTTGAAAATAATTCTGTACAATTTTAACACTAAAACTCAAGGACACATTTTAAAATACCATGTTATAGAAAGAACATTACAGCTCCAAAACAGAAAACAATAATGGTTTATCATTGCATACACTATATACAAATATAAAATTGCACTGTAATTATTACAAAACCTAAATATAGTTCTGCAAGGCATTAAAAATATTTTAAACATTGTCAGAAAAAAGGAAAGGAACAGAAGCACAATCGGGCTGGTATATCATCTCAGTTAGTAAATGGTATAAATATTGGGGGCAAGTGGTTTGTATGGAACCTGTTTTTGAAACACACCAAATCCTAACATGATTTCATAGTACTATTAATGCTATAATTCCACATACTTATTTGAGAGTAAGTACCATTGCACTCAGTGGGGATTCCTATTGAATAAATAACAAGCTCAGGCTTTTACTACCTATGGGGGTTAAGATAATAAAGACATGATTTTAAAAACCTATTTATGAAAATGATAGCAAGATAAAACCTCATGAGCCAAATCTGTTCTTCTATCCTATAAACTAGGGGTGTCAAACTCAATTTCATTGAGGGCCACATCAGGGCTGTGGTTGACCTCAGGGGGCTGGGCAGGCATGGCCAACTGGATGGGT